GCCTCAGTTACACACTGAATTTTGTGGGATGGAGGCTGCTGGCTGGTCAGGGATGGATCCTCACTGGAATCTGTTCTTCCTCAAGGACACACCTTATCCCTGGATCCCACAGCAGGCTTGAAATGCCTTGGTGCCTGTCACTGTTAACTTTTTTTCCTTTTAAACACTAAAGAGCTTGAAAGGTTTTTTTTTTCCCTGAGAAATTAAATGACAGTGTATGTAGGAGGAAAAAAATATCATCTCTGGCTATATTATTTTACTGTGCCAAGCAGTGGGGAGGCCTGACAGAGGATTACATAGTGGAAAAGGCTTGGTTTTCTGTGCATGCTTTAATGACTGGACCTTTGTTCTACCTCTTAACTGTGATCATTTAATAATTCCTTGACTCCCTTTGCCCTCAGCACGATGTTGCCTGTAGCTTCATTGCCTTGAAGGACACAGCTGAAATTAAAACTGTAATGGAATGATTCAGTTGGTAACACAGGTTACCCAACAACTGCCTGTGGAGTGGCCTTTGTGAGCATCCTTCAATACCAGAATGCTTCCCTAGACAAAAATTGACTTACAGGTGTTAATGTGGTCAGTTCCCAAGGCATGGAATTGTGGAATGGTTTGGGCTGGAAGGGACCCTAAAGCTCATCTTATTCCACCCCCTGGGCAGGGACACCTTCCACTATCCCAAGTTGCTCCAAGCCCCGTCCAATTTGGCCTTGGACACTTCCAGGGATGGGGCAGCCACAGCTTCTCTGGGCAACCTGGGCCAGGGCCTCACCACCCTCACAGGGAAGAATTCTTTCCCAATATCCCATCTAGCCCTGCCCTCTGGCAGTTTAAAATCATCCCCCCTTGGCCTGTCACTATCTGCCTGCATAAAAAGTCTCCCTCCTCTCCCATCTTTAAATCCTGCATGAAAAATCTCAATTGAATGTTTAGCCAAGAGCAAAAATGAAAGAAAATTCTCTGGTTTAACTAAAAGAGTTGGAAGTAGATTTAGACACTTTTGCACAGTGGACCCTGAGTTACTCTGGGTACAAGAGTTGCTCTGTTCTCTGAAGAGTTCAGATTTAAACATCCAGGTCAGACTGGAGGTGGGAGGGGGAGCCTGCTCCAGGGGAAGGTGACATGCCTAAAGGTGGCACAAGAGGACAGTAGCAGAGCTGGAATTCCACCCCAGGCCCCCAGTTTTGTGCCTCTGCACTGTGCCAGCAGCATTCCTGGCTGCTCCTGGAGGGTCGGCAGCTGCATGCAGGTGTGGGAAAACCTGTGTGGAAGGACATTATTACCTACAAGTCACCATGGTGTGTAAAGAAACTGTGAGAAACAATTCTGTGTATCCTGAATAGCTGGGGAGGCCTCCTGAGCTTCCCTGCAGCCTGGGAGAGGAGGTCCCTGGGGGAGGAGGTGGCTGACAGGGCAGAGTGGTCAAGAAGAAGAGAAAGCTTGTTTTGACTGAATATACCAGGGGACTTTAGTTCTCTGGACTCAGCCCAGTTCCTGCAAGGAAATCGTTCCCAACTAAATCCCCAATCCAGCAAACTCCCCCAAAACCCTCCTTCACTGGAGAAAGATCTCCCAAAACCACAGAATTGTTTAGGTTAGAAAAGCCCTCTGAAGTCATCGAGTCCAACCATTCCCCAGCCCTGCCAAGGCCACCACTGACCACGTCCCCAAGTGCCACATCCACATGGCTTTTAAATCCCTCTAGAAATGAGGACTCCACCCCTGCCCTGAGCAGCCTGTTCCAAAGCTTGAAAACCCTTTCCACGAAGAAATCTTCCCCAGTATCCAACCTAAAACCTCCCCTGGCACAACTTGAGACTGTTTTCTCTCGTCCTGTCCCTCATTCCCTGGGAGCAGAGCCCAACACACCCCCCCCGGCTCCACCCTCCTGTCAGGGAGTTGGAGAGAGAAAGAAGGTCCCCTCTGAGCCTCCTTTTCTCCTGGCATCTCTCAACATGTCTGGAATGACCTTCTTCCTTCAGGGACAATAGCTTGGCCATGCAGTAGTTTCATTAGATGTAGAAGGTGATGGTGGTGTCTGTGGTTGGAAGCTCCAAAGCAGACTTCCCTGTCCCTGCTCCTCTCTCTCTTCCCAAGGTGCTTCGTCAGGGTCCAGAGAAAATCACATCAGATGAAATCCTATTTTGAGTGTCTCGTGCCAGGTTTAATTCCTTGCTCTGTGTCTCTCTCTGGAAGGAGTCAAGTGTCCTTGACTGTACCTGTCCCCTCTGGAGAGATAATTGTTTTGTTCCTCCACTTGTTCCTGTACCCTCTGTCTCTCCTTTAGTTTGGCCCATTCCCTAGATGACCCAAAAATGCCCATGCTCCCTCACAACAGAAATAATAAAAGGAGGCAAAGATTCCAGATGAACGTTGTTCTTCTGAAATCTTCATTTACAGTTAGTTTGCAGCAGAATTTTTTTAGGAGGAATAAATTTCCTGTAATGGGAGTGAGTCAGCATGGATATATTGCAGGTAAATCATGTCAGACTAATTTGATCACTTATGCTAATGAAATAACTATCGGGCTGGATGGTATAAATCTATCTGGTTGCCCACAAGGCTTTAAGAAAATTTTGCCTGATGGATTATGGTCCAAACTCCCTCAGTGTAGGTTAAAATAATCTATTATTGAAAAGAGTAAAATACTGGGAGGAAGGCAGAGCCACGGCTTGAAGCTAAGGGTGAGTGTGACTGAGGAGGTGACCAGGGAGCAGATCCTCTGCTGGGGCTCTGTAGTATTTTTATTAGAGATTTACAGAGCACCGCAGCATTTGGATCATTAAATTTGCAGATGATACAGAGCTAAAGGGATCAGGCAAGACTTACTGGCCTTTCTTTGCAGGGAAATTACTTTTTGGCAGTAAAATCTTGCTAAATTATGTAGGGAGACTCAAACCATGATCTTGACTGGACCCAGATGCTCCGTGGCAGTTGCAGAACTGGAGGTGCAAAGTGGGGTCTTTGCAGTGGAGATGGGGAGGTTTGTGCTGGAGGGTGTGGAGGGGGGGAGGAATCACCAGCAGGAGGACACAGAGAGGGTTTTCCTTAATTTTTTACATTTTTTTAGAGTCCTTAAGACGCTCTCACCCTAAGCATTTGCCCAGCAGTGTTTGATAAGTGGGAGCAGCTTTCAGAGTGATGTGCTGACTGTGCTGCTGCAGTGACAGTGGTACCTCCACTGCTCTTCCAGCCACCCTGGGAAACAACGTGCAGGCTTTGGAAGATGTTCTATAAGTAGCAGCTGATTTGTCACATGAGACTCTGAGCACGGGAAGAGTGAAAATAACAGGAGAGTGATTTTTCCTCTATTTTAGTCTCTGATTTAAATAAGCTCCTGAGGCAGAATTCGTTTCTGGGAGAAGAGTGAAGCTTTTGAATTGAGATTTCTGCCATGGGAGTGAACACCTGTATTTCAGAGCCAGTGTAGGTGTTTAAACCTGGCCAGCTACACTCACAGCATACCCAGATACTCCCAATGTCTTCAGCATTGCGACACTGAAGTGCAAACCTTCAGACAGTGGTTATCATTAACAGAAGGGCAAAAATATTAAAATGTAACCCAGAAAATAAATCTGTTCAATAAATCAAAGGTAGAAGCGAAGATGAAATCTGAAATCCCCGTGTAGTGGGTATAACTCATTCCTACTGCCAGTTCAAAATCAACCATCACAGGGGAATTTAATGGTACCACTGTTTAGTGAAATTAGACTTGACACTGGCCAGGGACCTGTTATTGTGGTTGGGGAGGGTTTGCAATTGTTTGACACTCATTAGAAATCCCAGTAACCTGTTTAAGGGCAGGCAAATTCAGATTCCCTCTCTCCTTCCACAGTTACTCATCACACCACAGCCCTGTGCTAATTGGAAAATGACTGGGGGAGGAGCAGGTCTGGGCCAGGCTGTCCCTGGAGCAGGGAATGCCCTGGGGCTGGTCCCACACAGTGTCTGGTCCTGCACGACAGCCCAGGAAAAACCTGCAGGAAATGAACACCACCATGGCTTCCCAGATCCAAAATAATTATTCATCTTTAACGATCCCGATAATTTCTTTATGGGAATTCAACTCTGTTTCCTTCAGGGCCTCCAGCAGAACACACAGTTCCCTACCTGAACCTCAGTCCTGGCTTTTTGTCGATTCAGAGCCTGCCAGTGAGTGAGAGAAGGTTTGCTGGTCCAAGCCACACTTCCAGGGAATGGACCTCTGGAAGCTCCCAGGCAACAGGGTAATCATGGAATCCCAGAATGTTTTGGGTTGGAGGGACCTAAAAGACTGTCTTGTTCCACTCTCTTCCATAGGCAGGGCCACCTTCCACTATCCCAGGTTGCTCCAAGCCTCATCCAACCTGGCCTTGGACACTTCCAAGGGATGGGGAAGCCACAGCTTCTCTGGGCAGCTGTGGGTAAGCTGTGAGCTCCAAGCCTACAACCTTCCACCTCCGGCTAGAGGGAATCTTGTTTAGCTAAACCAGAATGGAGTGGAATGGGGGAAAATGTAGCTAATTGGGCTGTGCAAGCTGTCTGGGAAACACCATGAGGTCCTGCAGGGAGACAGGCAGGTGCAGAGAGGCTTCCTAGAGCTCACACCTGCACAAGGAAGCAGTGAGGTGTGACAGGAACAGATCTGGGGAGTGAAACGTTTGGTGCTGGCCCACTGTGTGTGTTCTGGGGGGAATTCCTTGCGATAGGTCTGGTCTGGCCCCGTGGCTTGGAGCATTCAGTAGCAGCTGCATGTGTTGTGTGGGTCTCTGGAGCTCATCTCATGGCTGAAAGAAATCCAGTTCTGCAGCCTGGATGTGATTGCAGTAAGAGGGAAGGTCAGGAGAGTCACCCCAAGGGGCTCCAGACTGAACCAAAAACCAACACAGGCACAGAGGGGTCAGGGAGCTGGTCAGAGGAGCCTCTCAGTGCTGCAAACAGCAGGTGAAAGTTAATCTGAGCATGCACAGCCTGGTTTATTGTTTTGATAACACATTCACTCTGAAATGCTGTTGTTCCAGGGAAGCAATACCGTGCAGTCAGGAAGTTGCTTGTTCCATGATTAGCATCGCTGCAGCTCCCGAGGGAAGGGATGGCACTGTCTGGGCAGACTTGGAACCTGCTGAGAGCACTTGCACCTGGTACTCCACCCAGGATCCAGTCTGCAAGTGGAAAAGTTGCCACTGATGACTTGGAATTTAGGAGCCAAGAGCTGCTGTGCCATGTGGGACCGTGTCGAGTGAGGGCGGTGAGGAGTGGAGTTCACCCAGCAGCTGTGGCACGAGTGCCCAGCTTGGCTTGGCAGGAAGGTGAACAGGTAAGATCAGCTCCTTCAGTTTATTCTCTGCAATACATTCATTTTTCATCTAGGAAATACACCCCTTGTATCCCACTGCCTGAGTCTGTGAGTTCCCTGCATATCCAAACAGCACATGAATTGTGACAGTTCATCTTCCAAAAGCCAAGGGAGAGGTGGAAAAGGGACCACCGTGTGTCGGGGCAATGACTGATCCCTGTTTATTTTTGCTCAGATGCCAGGCCTGGGTTTGAAATAGAAAAGCAGGATCCTGTTTTGTGGAGTAACTTTCGGAGGGGGCCCTGAAGGAGGAATGTAAGACAGGGCTGAAGAGATCAGACAGGAACCAGGAGAACAAAAGGCGGCACTGTTGGAGATGTGGGAGTTGGTGCTGGATGAAGCGGGGCCTCCCGCTGTTCGCGGCTCGCGGCTGCCGGGGCCAGGCTGGCATCCCCGAGCAGGGGGAAATGCAGGGAAGAGCTAATCTATCCAAACAGAAGGACAGACTTAGCTTGAGAAGATGAGCATGCTGAGCTGGTTTCTGCTCTGTTACACCCTGAAACCTCGCTGATATCCGTGCAGCTCCCCAGCCGGAACTCGGAGCAGACGGGGGTTCTTTATGCATTTTCTCCAGAGCCAGACTGGTGAGGATTTGGTGAGGACTGGAGAAACTGATACTGAGATTTTCAGCTCCGCAGGAGGGAATCTGTGTTTGCTTAATTTGGGAAGAGACAGTCATACAACTTACAGTATGTGAGGCTTAGGCAGAAATATCCCCCAAGCACCGGGCAGAGTTCGAGGGCAGCCAGGAAAAGTCTTTCAGGCTGCCCGAGCTGTTCCACAGCACTTCCTCCATTCCTTCAGGTACAAAGAGATGCCTGCTCCAAACAGTCTGTGCAAGGACTGGATTCCAGTCTAGTAATCCAGGGATTCCTACAGCCACATGCAGTCTAACCAACCACTTGTATAATTTTTCTGAAAGGTGAGTTAAAGAGCACCTTCTGGAAAACACCAAACCCCATCATTTCACCTGGCTCTCTGGCAGACTCTTCCAGTGCTGCACAGCCTGCACAGCTGTTTCTGTCAGGTTTTACTTCAAGGTTAAATGTGCAATCATTGCTCCCCAAAGCCCTCTCCAGCAATTGCCATCCCTTGTATCAGTGCCTGTAGCAGTGACCAGATCCTGCCTCGGTCACGTCCTGGACAAGCCAACAGCCTTGGGCTGCTTCAGGAGCCACAGGACAGCTTCCATTCCCCAGCTTTGCAGAGCTGCTCAGGAAGGAAGGAACTCAGCCCGAATGTGGCCTTCCAGCAGGTTGTTGGAGCTGTGTGCCAGAAGGGATCATCTGTTGTCCCTTCTAAACACCCAGGGATCAGAGTCCCCCCTTTGTGGCAGCTTTAGGGCTACAGCAGATCCCTGTGATGTCTTCCAAGTCCTTTTCCAAACAATTCCTTTCTGAGGCAGCGTCCTCTGAGTGTAACCTGCATTTCTGGTTTCAGATATCTTACCTTGCATTTGACTTTTTAAATCATGTTTCACTGGCATGTGGCCAAATCTCAGTCATGTCAGATCCCAGTGTATTGATAATCCAGTCCTGCCTTCTTGTTCCCCTCCCACCAATCTTGTTGGCATCTGCAAACCTCCCCACAACAAGGATTTATACAGAGTCATTTAGATCATTGATAAAAATATTGAAGAGAACGGTACCGGGAGTTTCTCTCTCCTTTTATCCCAGGCATTTTTACCCAGTGTAATATTGCTGTATGTTTATTGAGTTGTGGCTATTGGAACATCCAGTAAATATGCCTTTGAAGAACAGCCAGTTTCCAGGAATGCTTTCCACCTTAAATATATATTCCCAGTCCATTATGCTGGCAACTGAGGTTAAGGCTTGGGAAGCCAGAGGTGTTAAATGTATAGGGGTGTGTGTGTCACTGCTGGTGCCAGGTGTTTGCACAAGTGTAACCAGGTCATGCCCTCTGGGGTGGAGGCAGCTCACTGGTTTTTGGACCAGGAACTAACTCCTTGGCCTCCCAAGGTCCAGCAGAAGGGTTTCCCATGTGGATTGCAGCAGTTTCTGGGCTGAAGGTGGTGTTGTTTCAGAAGAGCTCCTGTTCCTGGCTTTATGAGGTGCCTGGGAGCTGATCTGGGCTGCAGCTCACCACAGTCGTGCACCTTTGCCTCATGCCATCGTGTGACAGCCAGGCTGGACCCTGTCCTTGTGGGGGACAACCTGGCACTGAACCCAGCAGGGAGCAGGGCTGCTCTGATTGCCGTGCAGTGAGGTGGATCTGCAGGCTTATCCAGAGCCAGTCCAGGTGTGGACAGGTCAGTGCATTCCCAGCACAGCAGTGCAGGCACCAGTGGGGCAGGAAGATTGCCACAAACGATACCTTTGCCACCAACAACCCTTTTTATGGGTTGTTTAGGACCTCTAAAGGGTGCAGCCCAGGAGCTCATTTAGATCCCAGGTTATGTATGAGGTTACAAACCCAGGGAATTGTTTATCCCCTTCACCCTCCAAATCCCAGGCTTTGGGAGGTGTGGGTGTTGTAGGATCTGGCTTCACACTGGTAGAGGTTTAGGTGGGATATGGGGAAGAAGTTCTTGGCTGTGAGGGTGGTGAGGCCCTGGCACAGGCTGCCCAGAGAAGCTGTGGCTGCCCCATCCCTGGAAGTGTTCAAGGCCAGGCTGGACAGGGCTTGGAGCAACCTGGGATAGTGGAAGGTGTCCCTGCCCATGGCAGGGGGTGGAACGAGAGGAGCTTTAAGGTCCTTTCAACCCAAAGCACTCTGTGATTCTGGGATTCTATGATTTTGTGGTTCTAAGATTCTGTGATCTGCCCCTTTTGCAGCACTTCCCAAGAGGAGAGGTGTCACCGTTGGTGGTCAGGACAAGGACAGCTCTTGTGCCAGCACCTGTGTAGCAAATCTCTGTGCAGAAATGCATCCCAAAATCTCAGACCTGGCCAAATATCCCCAGGCTGGTACAGCAGAGCACGAAGGAAGTGGTTGATATTCAGAACTGGGTCTTTAGCTGCACAGGAGCTGAAAGCATGGGCACGTCTGTGCCTCTGGGAGAGAGGCCCGGGAAGCAGGGCAGCCTTTGGCACAGGAACAGGAGCTCCCTCGTGCAGAGCTGGAGGCAGAACACTCATTATGAGCAGGAGGTGACTTGGCCTTCAAGGAGACACAGGAGCTGCTCTGGTTTGCAGAGCCTGGGCCTCGAGTCCTGATCTCACGGTGGGGTTGGCTGGGGAGCTTGGCACTGCCAGTGGGAAAAGGCCATGCAAAATAAACAAAAGAGAGTCCCTTTGACAGGAATTAAGGAATTCTGACTGTACACAATATCATCCAACTGCTTCACTTCGGGGCTATTGCTCATGGCTTACAGGCAGGAGGAAATTAGGGAAGGCAGCTCCTGCTACACTCAGCTCAGTGCGGCCTGGGAAAGCCTTGGGCAGCCTATCCCCCATCCCTGTCTGCTTTTCATTATTGTTTTTATAGCCAGAAATAAGAGCTTTATTGGCTTTATTCATCTCCTGTCAGATGCCCAATCAACATCTGGCAACGCAGCAATTCCCAGAAAGTGCTGACCTAGTGAGAGCCAGCGGAGCAGGAGGTGCAGAGGAGGGTCTCCATCCCCCTTCCCATCCCTGACTGCCCTTTTAATTATCTTCCCAGCCAAAGTGGGATGTGTACCCTCACCTCACCCTTGCTGCCTGCCTGGAGTTCAGAACACCAGGCTCGTGGGATTTCCTGGGCTTGGAAGGCACCTGAGGAAACATCAGTATGGAAACAGGGGCAGGGAGCTGAGCAGGAGCCAGGGCATCCTAAAAACTGCTCCCAGGCTGGAGCCGGCCCATGAATGGGGAAGAGACTGGACAAAGCTGATCCATTGCTTTGTGCAGGGCCTGGCCAGTGTCAGAGGGATGCACACAGCAGAGCAGAGGAGCTCAGCTCTCCCTTCTCCCATTTGCCTTTGTTTGCATTTGCACAGGACTCAGAATTTAGGCATGAAAATATAAGGATTTTTGATAGTTTCCTGCAAGTCAGAGGATTTTAAGATCCAGCAGAAGATTGACTAGAGAGGGACCCATTTTTTTTACTTCAGTGCACATTGAACTCATAATAAAATTGGGTGTAACAAGCCAGAGGCAAGTTCTGTTCCATCCAGAGATTAGCCCGAGTTGTGGCTGCTCCAGCAGGTCCAGCAGGTTCCCTGTCAGATCCCTGGGCTCCCACACTGGATCTCTTGAGCCCCCTTTTCCCACATGGTCCCACCCTGACTTCTCCCGTGGATGTGGGTGGCTTGGTTTGTGCTCAGTTGTGGTACCTGCCCTTCCACATCTTGGCTTTCCTCTGCTACTTGTCTCCTACATTCCAGCTTCAGCCAGTTGGTCAGGGCAGTTCCTCCCCCTTCTCTGCCAGGATCTTCTCCCTACATTTTGGTCTGTTTTTGCTGCCCACCTCCATGGGAAGTTCCCTCCTGTTCCTGTGGCAATCCTGTCCCTCCGGTCACTCCCCTGTCCTGTTCCAGCTGCTGCCCAGCTCTGTGAGTGCTCTCCTGCCCACAGATCCTCTGTGGGCTCTATGGCCCCTCTGTGAGCCCTTCCCAAGCCTCCACACTGAGACACCATCTAACCAAGGCCACTTTGTGGCTTCAACTAGTTTTGTCACCTTGTGCCTGAGGAGCCTTCGGTGCCCATCAGGAGTGGAGTGGGTTCCCCCTTCCTCCTGCCCAGAAGTGGAGCTTCTGAGGGAGATATAGCCAGGGCAGATAGTCTTTGGCACTCCATTGGAAAAGCAGCAAGACCCCAGCATGGTCTTGGCTATTCCCCTGGGAGTAGCAAACCCTGCCACGAAACAAGGACTCAGACCCTTGTAGCCCAACACGACACTGGGTGCTGGGAGACTGGTCCCATCCTGCCCATTTTTGGGATGTGCAGGCACCCCAGAGCTGGGTGTCATTGCTTGTTCTGTGCTCCAGACCCACAGTGAGAGGTACAGCTCCCTTAGAGAAAGGGTCTCCCTGAACTGCCTCATCAGCTGCCCACTCATGTGAGCAAATGCCACCAGTGTGAGCCGAGGCACCGCAATCCAGCCCATAATGCTCCTTTAAAGACATTTCAGCAGCTCAATTAAGTTTCCACTTGTGTGTTTTCTTTCTCCCCGCTTTGCTTTCATGGTCATTTAAAACAAATAAAGTGAGCAGAACACGGCAGCGTGATAACCACCCTTTAATTCCCTTCCCACGGGTCTCCCGATTATTTGGTGATTCAGCGGCAGCGGGGGGAACATTTACAGAGGGGAAGGCGGGAGCTTCCCACAGGGACACAGCTCGCAGCCCAGGGCCCCCGAGCCTCGGGGAGGAAGTACGTGCCTCGGGTTTTCCCTCTGAGCCCCGTGGATGTGCTGAATGCCGTGCAGAGCCCGGGCCCTGCAAGAGCAGCGTCCCCGCTCTCAGTGCCCTCGTTGTTCTCGCATTGTGCGCTGGGGACGGGACCCGTGCTCAGGATGTATTTCACGCTTCTGTGCAAACACAATATGAGATGAAGAATTCATACCCTTGCACAAGGAGACCAGAGTGTATTTTCTCATAATAAGGAAAAGCAGCCAGATCAGAGCCTGCCAATTCCTGCCCCGTGCTCCCGCCCTCCCTTGGAACTTCAAACAAGCCTGTGCTTTTACACTGGCGCAGAGAAGTGTATTACGTTTTTTTAAAACCCAACACAAATCCTTTTGGATCTTTTTTTACATTATTCTCCCCACCTCTGTCTTGGTAGGTGACTTTTCCAGCCCTCCCCCACTTGGTCTGCTGCGTCTGAGTGGAGGTAAAGGAGAATTCCATGTGTTTTGTGTGTGTGAACAATTAATAGTGGTACAGCGTCTTACTGGAAGAGGGTGTAAAACACAGCCCGGGAGGGGAAAAGTAACCAGCCTGCTGAACACTCCGGATCTTTTCCTGTCCTGTAGGCAAACACCGTGTGGGGGTTGGTTTGCTTATTCATCAGCTGCAGTAAATAACGGGCCTCACCTTGAGCTCTCCTTGAGCCACTTCTCCTCCCCAGCCCCCCCCCCGGCTGGCAAAGAAAGGGAATATTTACTGTCCTTTGGGTGACAGACTGGGGGTTTATAGCTGTTCACATTTTAGCTTTTGTTTCCTCCCTAAAAAGCTCTGTTTTGTTCTCTGTGGCTTTGTCTTCCCCAGCACCTGAAGCCTGGAGTCTCCAGCATGACACGGAGGCTGAGCCCTGACCATGTACTGAGCCCGTCATTCCCACATCCCAGCCAGGCACTGTGCATGGAGGTGCTGCTCTGGGCAGGACACAGGATGCACCTGAGTCACTTCAGACATTTATAATCTGGTCTCTCAGAGCAGCACCATCAGCAGCTTTTCCTCCCCCTCGTGCAGTACCCGGAGACGTGTTTCCATCCCTGGGCACTTTGGAAGTCCCAACAAGCCACGAGTGGCCAAAACCTGCTGGAGCCTGTTGATCCAGACACTGGATTCCTAAAACCTTTGCTTTCCCCAACACCTTCATAAAGTGTCCTGAATTAAGGTGATTCAGGGAGCACATTTCCAGACTGTCAGAGAGCTGCATCCATCACTCCCCTGAACACGCACCAGATTGTTAATGCTCCAGGCCAAATACCACGTCTTTTTTAATGCCTACCAAATGCAGTGTGTGCTGCTGGCTTTATATTTATAATAATTATTACAGGAACGGCAGTACCCACATTCCTATAGGCTGAAAGTGGCCAGGAACAGACAAAAAAAAATGATTCATTGTTCCAATTAATGCTGGAGCTCGCACCGGTGATTAATTAGCCTGGCGATAGTGCCATGCAAAAGATCAGGGTGAGAATTAATAGGGAGACACGTGCTGACTTTTAAGAGGGTTCCACCAGTGTTTGGTGCCCTTCCTTGGGCTGCCTCAGCCCGTTAATTAGAGGCACTGGGGCGGGCTCGCTCCGCACCGACAGACCCAACGGCCGGCGGGGCGGAATATTTATATGACAGTGTGCAGCAGAGAACTTCAGGACTAAATTCCCATCCAGGTCTCTAAATATAATTTTGAAATGTCAGAGACGCTGGGAAGAACGGCGGCGCCGCACGAGGTTGCTGTCAGGGAGAGGCAATAGTGTGCTAGATTTATACTGGGCTGAACAGGCAGGTGACTTTTCAGCTCTTGTGTTTCAGGGAGCCTGAAGTGCTCTGATGGACCTGTTCCACCTGGTGGGAGGCAGAGAATCCAGCGGGAACACGTGCTGCAGCCTCGTGCACCTCACTTGGGTGGGTGAGATGGAGCAGGGGCAGCTCCCGAGAGCCTGCGAGTCCCCACGAGGCACAAACCACTCTGAAGCACCAGCCTTTGAAGGTGAGCCCTCTTGGCAAAGTTTCTCCTCCAGGTTTTATCCATCACTCCTTCTGCTGCCTCATTATCTTTCCCTTCTGCATATTGGTCCTCCCACCACCCCAATTCATTTTGCTATTGACTGGTTTGTAGGGATGGGGTGTAGCCAGTCCTGCCCCGGCTGCGCCCGAATCGCTGACGGGGCCGATCGCTCTGATCACACATCAATCTGAGAGCACAGGCAAAGTTCCATCCTGCTGAATTAATTGTTAGGAGCTGCAACCCCAATGTCTTTGTAAATAAAATATTTTAATCTCATGGGGCCTGCCTGGAGAGAGGGGAATAAATACATCAATATGTAAATGGATCCACAAGAGGAGGATGAACTGGGACTTTGCAAAACTGATAAAGCATCTTAGGAGACGTGTTGTCACTGTGCTTCGTGCATATTCTGATGAAGCAGACAGAGAGGCTGGATCTGAGCCTGGGTTTGGGGGGGGAGGAGGAGGGGAGGGAGGGAGTAGTGTGGGCACCAGCACACCGTGACTGAAATTCTTGTATGGATTGATTTGACTCAAATATATTCCGAGGCTCGTCTAATTGCTCCTTTAGTCTCAGGCTTTGATTTTCCTGTTGTTCTCACATCCCTGTTGCTGAGTCTTTCCTGCATTTCAAACAGCCTGGTTGGGGCAGTGTCCAGACCAAGCTGCCCCTCTGTGTGACCAGGAGTCAGTACCTGTCCTTGCTGAGCCCTTCCACAGAGCCTCTGCAGCAAAGTGGGCACAAAGAGTGGAGGACAGTGAAGGTCAGGCTTTTGCTCATCGGTGTTTTCTCTGTGTAACAGCCTTGGGGGTTACTTTGGAAAACAAAGCCTGAAGCTTTTGGGACAGCTCGTTCATGATGGGCCCGTGCTGGTGTGACTCTCATGGGAGATCTGAGGGAGCTGGGGGAGAGCACTTAAACAAAGCATGAGCAGGAGAAGGTGCAGTGACCAATTTGCTCTCGTGCATCCTGCAGGATCCTTCCTGGCTCTCCCTCACCTCTCCTGCCCTGTGCCCTGTGCTGTGTTACCCCCTTCCCGGGAATCGCCGCTCTCCGGCATCGCCGCCACATCCCACGGCACGGGTGGGAACACAGAGGCTCTGCTCCCAAACAGCGGCTCACCTGCGCCGTGTCAGGCAAGAGCAAACCTGTCACCCACCTCGGGCACCCGGGCGCGTCTCCAGTGATTTCCAGGGCGAGGCGAGCAGGAGAACCCTCCCACCGCGCTGCCCGGGGCGCTGCCTCCCTGTCCGCGGGCTCAGCTCCAGCCCTTGTTTTGCAGCGCGCACGTGGAATTTTATCACCTTCAACAATGGAATCTGTCACCTTCAAGCTGCCTTAGTGTAATCTGGGGATTTGTGCCCCGGCCCTGTAACAGGGGCTGGGCTCCTGCCACAGAGCACCGCGTCCCTCCCTGTGCCATTGCTAACACCCGTGGGCCGGCGGCGGCAACTTCAGGGACATATTTGGGCTTGTTTCCTCACCGGGATCAGATCCTTAATTGATCTGTCTTCTTTCCTTTCTCTCTCTTTGCCTCCTTCTGTCTCACGTGCATCTCAATCCCCGTCTTCTGATCTGCTTCACCACCCCCTCCGGCTCGGAGAACAAATCCCATCAGACCTGCGGTACAGCCAGGATGCAGGAGGGGGGATCTGGCATTTTAAAGAAGCATAAATACGTGTTTTAAACGATGGCACCTTCATGTTGCATCAGGTATAAAAACACAGGTGTTTGAGTCATTGGCTGGTGGATCTTCCCTGTGAGAGAGGGAGTGGTGCCTCCTCAGCAGACGGGGCTTGGATGTCACAGCCCTTCAAGTGGGCTGTTGTGGGAGCCTCTTTGTGGGCAGTTTGGGAACCTGAGTAATAAATTAAGTTTGATTAATCTGCTTTAATGATCTGCTAAGATCAGAATACTTGCTGCATTTCTCTAGCTCCCATTGTAGCTGCATTTTTGCTTTAGGGGCTGAGCAGTTCCCTCTGAAATGCAGTTATGTACATTTGCATATGCATTTGTATGGGCTAATTATAAACTCACCGTCAGCGCTGTGATCCTGCACAGCAAAAGGGTTGTCCCCGTTTGGAAATGTCTGCTTTGGTGCAGAAATCAGAGGGGTTTTTTTGTAAAATCATTTGGCCACATCTTCAGGGCTTAGATTTTCAGTGAATAATCAATATCCGCAACAAAAGATTTAAACAAAAAAAAAGGTGTTCATTGAAGTTTCTCCACAGGAAAAGATCGATAACATGTATTATTAAATATAAAGAGACTTATGTCTCGAGTTCCATCACACCACAGCTTATAATAACCCTTCAGAAGCTCGAAGCAGGGCTTTTTTTCATTAAACAAAACGTTGTGTTCCCCTGCTGCCTTCGTTCCAGCAGCATATTGGAAGGTGCCTGTGCCCAGCAGCTCTGGCCTGGAGGGCTGTGCTCACCCCTGCCTGTCAATGCCGTGGCTTATTCCATAAAAATGGAAATATTTATTTCCAAAGTGGATGTGTAAGGGGTGTCAGCATGTGAACAGTGGCAGGGAAGCATGTTTTCTGGGTGGAAGTTTTAAACATCTGCCTCCTGAGCATCTAAGCAAGACATGGGGACTTGGAGAGGGCCCTGGTGACTAGGGGTGCAGTTGGTGATGGTGCAGCTCATCCCCAAGTCTCCCGTATCCAGTGGTCCCAACCCTGACCTGTCCCTTCTCTCTCCGTGCACTTGGATATTTGAAAGCATGATAGTGGTCTCTGGGACTGGGAATACAAGGATTTTCAGCACCACTGTCAAGGAGCTGGGGCAAACCCCTCATTACTCTGCGTCCCTCCGTCGTTGGGTGTTCCAGGAGTGGGACTCGCAGGCCAGCGCTCCGAGGCAGCCAGGAATGCTTGGAATAAAGAAATGCTTCAGTCCTGTTTTCATTCCTCATGGCCAGGTTCCAATATCCAAACTGGGATTACCAGAGTGAAATGCAGTTGGGTTTTGCCTCTGCCGACCTTCAGCAGCAGCTGTTCCAGCCCTGGGTCCTTGGAGAGCTCTGGGGATGCACCTCTGTGTGATGTGTCAGGCTGATATTCCTGCCTCCAGCCTGTCCTGAGCCCGGACTGACATACCCAACTGCAGAGGTTTTGTGACAAGCCCGTGGAAACCTTTTCTCCAGCACATACAGATTTGTTTTGCAGGGCAAAAATAAGCAGCAATGCAAATATCATTCTCTGTTTTGTTTCCCCTGTCTTTTTCCCCCCTTTGCTTCGGGAAAGCAGGCAGAGGCGAGGAAGGATTGACACCCTATCCCGCCGAGGGCCTTTGCTGAGGTGCCTGCTGGGAGCACTCGCTGGGTGTTTCTCTCTAGGCAGGAGCTCTTTTCATTTTCTCGCTGCCTCGCAAGTCGCACCGAGGTGCCTGGAGAAGGATTTGCTGCTTGCTTATGAAATCCATTCTCCCTCGAGGATCTGCTCTTTCCAGCTTGATAAACTTCTAATTCTCACTGTCTAATAACACAGAGGGACTGTGTTTTGTGCCTCGATGAGGATTTTGTGATTGATGTTCATCGGCGCTTGCAGGAGACCAGTAACCTCATTTCATTTTTGACAGAACATCGGGACAAGAGCTCTGGCTCCTTCCCCCTTCTTGGTCAGGTATAAATGAAAGAGAAAGTGAAGTGGATCTCATCTGTCCAGATCTGCTCTCTCACCGTGTTGCTCAACTGCTGACACTGTGTCTGCCCCACGTGGCTCATGGGCACGTGGTCAGAGGACACGCTCGGCTTATTTCTGCTATCGCTGTGTTATCTTGATTTTATTCTTGGTTCTCTGCACTGTCTGGGATGTTTGGAAGGAGCTGCTGTAACTTGGCGTGGGAGTAGATGGCTTAAATATTACCTCACAGAGTCCATGTGAATTTAGAGTAGATAAGGATTGGACCCCAAATGGCTTTTTTAACCCATTCTTGTATTTTCTAGTTATTTCCCTCTGCTCTTTCTGATCTATTTCCATCAGATTTGAGATGTTTTATGCTTAGACCAACCTCCTCTGTGATACCTGAACAGTTTCTACATGGGCAGTAGAGAGATCTTGCACTTATGAACACGCATGTCCACACACAGGTACCCCCTCTGATGAAGGGCTTGTCAACATAAGAAATCCCAGAGGAAAAGTGCCCACAATGAGGAATTCACAGAAAATACACCAGGTACTATTAACCAAGGTAGCCAGGTGATATCATTCACCAAACTGTGACACTCTTCTCATAGAGTAAATATCATTTCCCTTTAAAAATCCCTTTTCTTTCCTTAGGAGAAAGGACACTTAGAGCACCTGTACTGAGAGGGAGAAGGTGGAGGAGCCTGTGTGCATACCCTGCTTCCCCTGCTGTTACACAGATTCTAAACACAGGTTTGGTTATTCCTACTATATGTTTATTTTTCCTCTCTGCTTTCTTGCTTCGAAGTACCTGCTTGTGTTCTCAATGAAGAACAGCTGAGAGATCAGGAAAATGACTTAAGCATTCAGTGGGCTGGAAGCTGTTTGGATTTCAAACAGTGCCTGGGAGAGAGCTCTGCACAGTGCCTTGCTGCACAACCCTCCTTCTGTCACCGGCCGAGGTTGCCGTCCTTTGTTCCCTCCCTGTAACTCTCCAGAGCCTTCAAGGGAGGGAAAAGAAGGATGAAGGAGGTGACTTTAATTTCTCTTTTTTAAGTCCCCCCAAGTCCTCCTTTAAAAAGCCACAGCACAGCCCTTATGGGCCATCTGCCTTTATTTCTCTTGTGCTCCTTGGCTTTGTTTGTTCCTCATTTCCCCTCTGTGCCCCTTTGCAAACCTCGGATCCCTGGGAGCCATGAGCAGGATCCAAGTGCCACCCGAAGCTGCAGCTCCCCCTCTACAATCTGCCAAGGAGGAACTGCCCACAGGACACTCCAGCACAGCCTCTGGAGTTTCTAAAGCCATTTTTGTTCAGAAATTCCTGTTGTTGTTGTTCCTGCTGACCTCAGCGGGCTGTATCTTTTCCAAATGTTTCTGACGTTTCTCACAGGGTAATAATCTATTAATGTCGCAGACAAGGATTCTGCTGACTTCAGTTTGGCTTCTGTTTCCCATTGGATGGGCTCCTCTCTTTATGGGGGAATGCCTCCAGCCAAAAAGAGAGGAAAAAAAACTCCAGCCCTGAGCTAAGTGAAACCAGGCCCGAAGGGAAGCGCGTTGCAGCCGCGTTGCCTCTCGCTGGCTTCTGTTCTGTGCTTGGGGATGTGCCAGACTCCAGCGCCTCCATGCTTTTGATTCCTGTTTATCCCCGGCAACATGATTGTCTATAATTATATATAATCTCCCCCTTGTTTACTCTTCTTCCTCCAGGTCTGAGCACAAGCTCGATGGCAACTCTCAGCTCCGTCTGCCGGGGCTGCAGCTCCAGCCCTCCTCACCATCCTCCACCTTCTCCTCCAAAGTAACAAAGCCATTGGATTTCCTCCCACCCCTTCCCCGCGCTCCCCCTCCCCCTCGCTGGCACCGGGGTTATTTATACAGAATGTGGAAACAATTTGCAGGAAAGTGAACAATGTAAGCGGGAGTGAGGGAAGGGAGACAAGTTTGTTGTGCACACTGAGAGCCCCAGCGGTGAAACGCTGCTTTTTGGGGGGCTGAGAGAACAGACTGTTTCCCTTTCTTCCTTCTCCTCTCTTTCACCGTCTCCCTCAGCTCTTTCCATCTTGCCAGAGTCGGGTCCAAACCAGAGCAACCAGATCTGAGTGCATGTTTTGGAGGAGGTTCAGGTTGGATCCCTCCCTGCATCCCAGCCCCGTGAGGCGGTGTCTGTGTACTTAATCCTCTCCGAGGTTCTGCTCTCGGATCGTTGCTGCTCCTGGATTAGCATTAATGAGGAGCATGTGTGCTCAGAGGTCCTGCTCCAGGCCCCCAGAGCTGCAGCACTGGGTTTAGACACAGTTACTCCCAGGAACAGTTCAGCTGAAACAGAACCATTCCTGGGAGTGAACGAGGCAGGAACTTTTTGCAAAGTCTAATTTTGGTCTTTTTCCCCTCACCCACTGAGCATTACATTTTCAGGACATCCCAGCACCTTGCTGGCTCCAGTGTGAGTGTCTGGGAATCAGGGAGTTTACCTGAGTTCTGCTGGGGCTGAGGAAGCTGAACCAGCACTGACTCGGCACTCAGAGCAGATCTGGGATCTTCAGCTGGCACTCTGCACCATGAAGTCCTCAAAAAGAGGTAATCCCAACCCACACACCATTTGGGGAAGGGACACTGGTGTTGCAGAGCCAAGGGAATGTTATCCCAGGTTGTTGGGGCAGAGCAGCTGCCTTGGCCACAGTGGGTGTCTCAGCCACTCCTCCCCTCCCAGGAGATGCAGCCTCCCTTCCCAACAGCCTCCAGACTTGGGATGGGATCTGTGCAGTTGTGCTGAGCTGGTAGGGCAGGGCCAGGGAGCTGCCAAGTGGGATAGCAGTTCCTCCCTAAACTGGGCACATTCCTGGCTGAGAACTGGTGCAGCAGATCCACTGTGATCCATTGGCAGAGCGACAGGTGGAAGGAACATGTAGAGGGCTTTTCCTCCCTGAGAATCCATCCTCTCCACATTCCAGTTCATCCTGCTCCTCCTTAGTCATTGTCCACATACAGAGGGTGAAGTTTCTGTGGGTGTTTGTTCGTGACATGCCCCTTCTGCGCTCCCACATGGAATGGCAGGGATCTCTGGCCAGGCTGGCCCTCCCAGAGCCCCTGGCACAGCAGAGACCATTCCAAATGCTGCTGCTGCTCCTTTAGCCAGTTCTTGGCTGGAATAACAACTCCAGGTGTGAAAGGCAGAACGAGAGGGAGCAAACACACTTTGGCCGCCGATGTTTTGTGATTGGGGCAGTTCAGCTCTTTGGGCTCTTTTGATTTTCACTGACTCTGAGAAGGGCCCAGGAACAGCAACAACTTCTGTTTTCTTTCCCCAGCCAGACACCAACACTGCACTGGGAGGCTGCAGCTGGGAGCAGGCAGGACCCGGACGCAGCAGTGCAGGGCTGGGGCCCGACAGAGCCATGGGGATGCCGGTTCCCACTCCAGCCACACCATGTCCCTGATCCACAACCTGTCTGCTTCCCATCGTGCAGCTGCCTGGCAGGAGCCTGGCAGTGTCTGCAGCCTGCCCAGACATGTTGCACACTGTGCTTGGCTGTCTGGCAAAGAGCTGGGATGCGGAGAGTGCTTTGAATCCATCAGCCTCTGGAGAGAGAAGCCTCCCCAGTGCCTGTGGCAGCCCTTGCAGGCCCAGGCCACGAGGACAGCACTTCTGGGTTGCAGGGCAATCTCTGGGCATCCCACTGAAGGCCTCAGGGCATGCAGACATTCCCAGTCTCTTCCTGACTCCCAAGGGTCCTCCCTGACTCCTGGAAAAATGTAGCCTTGAGTTAAACTGTGTGGAGAACTCTCATCAGCAGCACAGGTTTGGGCAAAGTGGAGGCTTGTAGCTCCTGTAGAGACCTTAAACTGCAGAGACCAGAGGGATCAGGGTAATTTCAGGGAAGCAGCTATAGGAATGCTTGTGCTTTTTCCCTTCTGGTTCTAAATGTTCAAATTCTTGTAAAAATATGAGAAAAACTGTCCTTGGAATGACTGTGCAGCTGAAAACATCACTGGCTTTTTGGAATTTCTTCTTTCATCTGGTTCTTTTTTTTTTTTTTTAATTATTTTTAGGGTCTTTAGATGAGAACAGATTTGTATTCCTCTCTTCCTGCTGCTCACTTACCACCTGAAATCCTCAGTTGCTCCTTGCAGTTCCCACCACAACGGCGAGCGATATCCCGAGCGGAGCGTTGGAGCTCCAGGTGAGGGGGAGCAACAGCAGCAGATGGGCTTGTAAACAGCAGAGCTCTGGCTCTGCCACAGAGGCCCTGTTGGAGCGGGGAGGAGCAGGATGGTCGGTAAACACGGAGCCGTTTTCATTGTCTGGGTTGCAATGTGTCCGTGTGGGGAGGGGAGGGCGGCGCCGGCACAGCGGCCCTTGTGTCCTGGCACAGCGGCCCTTGTGTCCTGGCACAGTGGCCCTTGTGTCCTGGCACAGCCCGCCATTCCCAGCGCGACCTGCCCGTGTTGGAACCTGCAGCAAACTGGAGAAGACAGGAAAGCGGGGTACGTTTTCCGGCATCAGGGAATTTGTGGGTGATGAAAACAAGATTTCTAGCAGCCCTTTTGCGCTAGTCTTGGTTTCTACAGAGGTATCCTATGGTTTTCCTGCCCTTCTTCCCTCCCCTTGAATTCCTTCTGAAACTGTCAGTCAGTCGGAGTTGGGAGTAACTTCACCGATAGAAAATTCCCACGAATCACCCGAAAGTTTGCAGCTGGATGGAGGAAAAAGAAAGCCAGAGTAGAGTCCCCACTGGTGGGAGAAAACAGGCAGACTAAGGAGGCTCAGTTCCAGAGTTTATTGAGCCCAGAGGGATTTCTAGAGACCATGTGGTGTCAGGTGCAGAAGAAATGAAGGATGATAACCAGCGTGGAAGAGCGGAGCAGCCCAGAACTCCCACAGCCCAGCCAGGCTCCAGAAATGTTGGAGAGGCTTCAACAGCACTTTAATGTGAAACTGCTGGCCAAGAGCAGCCCCTCCACCTTGTTCTGTCAAGAAAAGGTCCTGATTCATGTCATGTGTGTTCTTTCCCTGGACAGGGAGACTCTGCAGATCCCGTGGAGTGCAGGAGTCACGGAGAACAGAGACCGATGAAAGATGGCTCCAGGGTGGGATTTTGGAGAGGTTTGTGCTTGATCCAGGGTTGAAGGGTTGGTGTTTCTATTTTTTTTGAGATTGGGAGAGGAGAGGTTACTGAGTCCTTGAGTCTTAATGTAAAATGATTAGAATCTGGAACAGATTCCAAACCAGACATTTAGGGACAACTGAATGCACAAAGCAGCTTGGATACCTATCACTGGAGTTCATCCAGTCCTGGATAAAGCCTCTGAAATAGGCAGTGCTTTAACAAAGTATGTATGTCTGGGGACTCAAAATACAAGGAAAAATTATGAGCAGAAGAGATAACACTTTCTCCATTTCTTAGAAAGGGAGAAAATGCCAAAAAGTTATTAATTTTATTCCCGAGACTCTCTCAGCTGGACAAGGATCCAAGGTTAAGGTGATCCCCATAACCTGACACTTGCAGAACAAGTGGGCTCACTGCATCCTGGCACGAGCAGTTCTGGCATTTCTAGGGAGATCTCTTATCCCAAGTAATAACCTCAGAGGTTAATTGGAGTCTGGAAATGAGTTTATTTGGTAGGTGGGCTAGAGGGGGTTTAATTATGTGTTCAGATCAGTGTTGCTTCAAGCATTAATTTTGCCTGGGAAAGGAAGGTGTAATGTCAGGAATGAGACTTTCACACTACTTAGACTGGGAGAGAGTGGGGGACTGGTGGGAGCCTGTGGCCTGGATGGCAGATGAAAATGAGCTCTGATTAAAAGCATCTCTTTTGTTTGTTTTGGGCCAAAAATCCCTGGGCTCTGTGTAAGGCCCAATTCCCTCACTCAGCAGTTTCTGGACAGTCAGGCTGTCAGAAGGAATCCCTCTGAAATACACATCTGATTTCTTTTTTTGGCCTATTTCTCTTTTCTGCTTTGTGTGGTATTCTCCTCACAGCTTTCCAGAGCAGAGTTACTCTTCCACTTGTTCCCTTTTGCCTCCTGCTGAGTCAGTTCCTTTATTTTCCACCATAATTTGTACTGTAGTCACTCCCAGAATCTGGGAAATCATCCTCAGAAGTCTCCCTGTCTCCTGAGCTTACTGCCAGCTCTCCCACTAAAGCTTTTAATTCTTTGTTATAAAGAAGAATAAAAGGCCAGGAAAGTGCACCACGACACCCATTCAGGTGCCATTACCCTGTAATTCTTTCAAAACTCCGTGTGCATTTATAGTCACTGGGAAGTGCTGGAGTGGGAAGCCTCTGGACTAAATCAGTGTGAGCACATGAAAGAGAACAAGTCCCGCATGGGGCAGTGGGTTCTGGGCTGGGTTTGATCCCTGACTCACTCCGAGGGCTCAGGGAAATCACTTCCCTCCTCTGAGCATCTGTTTCCACTCCCCACCTCCGGCTGTGTCCCTGTTTGGACAAGGAGCTCCCTGGGACACAGCATCTCCTGTGTGGAGATGGAGCCTCAGTCAATGGAACCTGTGGGGAGCAGGGAACACAAACTGGGATGAAAGGTGTGTCCAGGCAGCAGGGCAGGATTCCCAGACATGGCTGGAACCCTGTGTGCTGGGAGACATCGCTGCTCCCACTCCTTTCTCTCCACCAGTTCCAGCTGCAGTGGTGAGGTGAACTGGCACATCCCCAGTTCCACTGGGGAACGGTGTGAAATCATTAAACTCATTTTGCAAACTCCAGCAGTGCCCAATGGGATCATCTATCCTGCCTGGAACTGCCTCAACTCCCCACAGGTGAAAATCTCCTTGTGCCTCCAAGTCTTTCCATCCCATCCCACCCACCCTATCCCATCCCACCCCATGCCACGCTGAAGCCTGCTCCAATTTGCCAGCAGAACAAGCAAACCCCTTTCCTCCCTCTCCCCTTGTCTGAGGAGGTGCACACACATCCCCTTGGCTTTCCTTCTTCTCCACAGGCTTTCCCAGAGCCCCTTCCTCCCGTTGTTTGTTCATTCCCTGCACTCCATCCCATCTTTTGCCTTCCTCCCTGGTTGGATACAGCATCTCGCTGGTCCTGCTTCACACTCGGAGCAGGGGTATTAGATGGATTCCCCATAGAGTACAAATTGAATGGAGAGAAGTGGCTGCTTTCCCAGCAATAATTTATCTGATTAAAAAAATACTCCCCAAACTCCCCCTCCTCCCCCCGGTCCTAAACCCCCTCCAAAAAGCACATTGGCACCGGGGCTGGTGTTTGAACTGTGTTATTCAAATTGCTGGAAGGGGGATTTAGATGGGAAAATAACTGTCATAGGAGGGTTCTCGGGGGATTTTCCCCAGAGCGTCAGCGTTGAAATTCGGAACATGGGTTGTTGTGTGGAGGAGGCAGAGAGTAAATAATTCTGAGTCAAGTGCCTCCGTGATTTCTGCCTTTGCCCTCATCTAACAAACCTTGCACAGATGCACACACAGTGCTCACACACGTTTTCCCATCACACAGGTTCCATGGAGGAGCTGTTAGCAGGAACTCCAAAGCACACCAAGCTGCTCTGCTGCTCCCTGTCTCCTCTCTTTTCTTTGCCTTACCTCAGGCTGATTCCAAATGAAAGAAGGAATATGCTCCCTAAAATGCCTGTCTCCTTGTTTGTCACCTGCACAGGGTTCATTACTTCCAATGCAGCCCGATCCAAGGCTGGTCATTTTCTTCTTCCACTGGAGCCAACATTCCTGTTGTAACTGGGGGATGGAAAAGTCACCCCAACATTCCTGTTGTAACTGGGGGATGGAAAAGTCCCCCCAGCCCCTCTCCACCCGCTCTGTGTGTGGGGCTTGGCTGCTGCCTGTGTCTCTGCGGGCGGGAGGCAGGTACTTACATCCCATAGTGCTCCCAGTGTGCTGTGATTTACAGCAGGAGCTCCTTCCTGATGCCAAGGGCAGGACTGCTGCTGACATCCAAACCATTCCAGAGCCCTGGCATGGTCCCAGCTCCAAGGGCTGTTGGCTGATGGACGTTCCTCTGCTCACAGCTGGGTCTGGGCCACTGGGGGAAACGTGAATGGGCCCGTTCTGAGCTCTGCAGCCTCGGAGCATCCTTAAGCCAGTGGCCAGGGCTCAGGTTTCCCTGCTTTTTGACAGGAGTGCTGCTCAGATGAGATCTCTCTCTGCTCCTGGAGGATTTACACTGCCACAAGTCCTCATTTTTTCCAGATGTTTTACCTAATAAATCAAGGAGTCTCATCAGAGGGTTCGGATCCAAAAGCTGTTACCATGACTTCAAAGGCACAGGCTGGAGTGGAAAGAAGCAAAGCAGACATTTTACACCACTCTGTACTCACTGATGTTGAAAATACACTCTGCTTTCAGGATTTTTTTCCTGTGGATACCAAAACTCTACAGTGATTAAATAAAATAGTGCTGTGCTCCTTCAGCAACCTTTGTTTCGAAGGATGGAGCTGCAGGACCCAGGGGCTGTGCATGGCTGGCAGGAGCCAGGATGGGGCTGGTCCTGAGGGGAGCTGAGCTGTGCCAGCCCCTGTCCAAAATCAGGGATCGGTAGCTCAGGTCTGAACTCGCTCCATCTTTTCAAGTCAATACTCAGCTGAGTATTTTCTCCCAGTTTAAGCTGGTCTAAGGGATTCTCACATAAAGGATTCAGATGTTCATCTTCAGATGTTTGGGAGAGCAAAAGACAATAAGAGTTATGTGGCTGCAAAATATGACTGTGACTATTCAGACTGGTTTGTTCCTTGATCAAGAATGTAACTTTTTTTTTTTTAATGTAGTGAGCCCTTTCTTTTCACAGTGTCTACATGGTGTTGTTTTTTTTCACTGCTCCATTTCTAAAGATAACTGCTGTGTGTTTGGAGAAGCTGCTCTGTCTTTCCAACCCCTCGACAGCACGGGCTGCTGAACGAGAACATAGCGAAGGAAAGCAGCTGAAGAAAGAAAAGCTGTTCCTGTGGTAGGTGAGCAGCAGAGCCACAGGACTGGCTTTTGGTTCCCTGCTTTCCCAGAGTGCCAGCCTGGCTCTGGCTGCGCTGGTGCTGCCCATCAGAGATGCCCAAGCTGGGCTGTGTTTGGGCAGCAGTGCCAAGGGGAGCTGCTCCTCCTCACCCTCTGCCTTGTCTTCCCCTGGATCCCACCGGATTTGGAATCACAGAATAGTTTGAGTTGGAAGGGACACCTTCCACTATCCCAGGTTGCTCCAAGCCCTGTCCAACCTGGCCTTGGACACTTCCATGGATGGGGCAGCCACAGCTTTGTCTGATCTGCCCCCTGAGTGTTGTCTGAGCAGGACTGAGGGGATGGTGCCAGGCAGGAACAAGCTGCTGGGGCAGGAGGGAGCATGGCCTGGCTGTGGGGAGCCCCTTTGGCTGTGGAGAGATGACCAGGTTGAGTGTTGAGTCTCAAGAGAGGATTTGGGCTGTCTCCTGCAGCAGAGCCATGGAGAGGGAACTGGGGGTACCTGCAGCAGGGGATGCAAGCAGAGACTTTGGCTTGTGCTGTCTGAGGGTTCTGGGATGTGAATAAGTTGTCACTTAGGGGAATTGGGGACTGTAGCTCTTGGAGAGCTGTGAAAACACTGTGCAGCCCCCAGGAAGCACTGTAGTTCTGTAAAACAGACTTGGGATGTGAATTCACTCCTGCTACACTGTAGTTTGTACTTTATGTGTCCCAGGCAGTGGAGCGAGAGACCATTTGGTCCTGCAACGTGTTTAACCAGATCTTAAAACATCACCATGGTTGCCCAAGGGGTGGATGTTCCAGAGGAGGGGACGTCCTGCTGCAGCCCCCTGGAAGGGAGAGCCAGGGACAGATCCTGTGCTGTAATGGACTGAAAAACCACCTCCTCTAAATATTGATATTCAAATAACTGTCACCACGATACTGTTTGTTCCTGCCAGAGGCTTCAGAAAAATTGCTGCTTGTCTTCCCTCCCCCACAGCGCTGAATCCCAGCACCCCAGACTGTCGTGACTGCCGGGGATTGGTGACATCTCGAGTGACACGTGTTGGAGCATCAGAACAGAGTGGGAGCAGCACAGCTTGGCTCTGGGAGCCAAAAATAGGTACTATCATTGCTGAGCTGAAGCCTCCCTTCTCCTTCCCCACCCAGCCCTGCCTCTCTGGCACATGCAGCTCGTAATCGTGGTGTTCCCATCGGACCAAAGGAAAACCACGTTCCTAAAGCAAGCAGGGCGTTAAGTAGTGGCCATGCTTTGGAGGCAGAGAATGTTATGACATGGGTCCTAAATTAGTGAGCATCAGTGGTGATGATGGTTTGCAGATTTCCCACAGGGAATGGGTGTAGAAAGGAGCACGGCTCATCTGCTGCATTGCCATGTGGAAAAGCATCAGAGACACACCATAAAATAGGGAGTGTGAACTTTCACTGGACACCTGCTCAAATCCTTGTAATTGAATGACTGAGTGATGAATGTAGCACGTTGGGTTTTTCTCTGGATCCTTCCTCTCCTTTATTCTGTAGCTCTGTGAATCTCAGTCATGCTTTCACCTGGGTTTTTCAGTCTGCTCGCTGGAGTATTTGTCTTCTTCTGCTGACCCCCAAAAGCAAGCACCATTTCATTAAAAACCCTGACTGTTTGGGAAGGGTGATATTTATTCACAAAGGTAAGGCTTTTTGAAGGTGTCTGCTCCTTTTGGTAGTGAGTGATTCAAATGAGTTCCCTTTCAGCATTCCTGTCTTGCTGCTCCCAAGGCCACACAAAGGAGGAGGGATTTGTGGGGTCGTATAAATCAGGGTTTGTTACAGGGACGTCAAACACAACTGCACCACGGGGTGTTAATGGTGAGCAGGTGAGGAGTCAGAGCAAGTCAGAACCAAGGAACAAAAGCCACAAAGCTCCTGTGTCTGGCTCTTGATGCTTCCCAAAAGTGCAGTGTCTGCACACTCCTGCTCTGTCCTGGGAAAGCTCAGGGTGTTACACTGATCCGTATCACAAAGTGCTCCAGTAATTGGATGAGTAGGTTTGGTGTGAACATCTTTGGTTCTCAATTTCTCCCATTAGGAGAGATGTAAATGAAGTTGTATGAGCACATGTCCAGCCCAGGTCTCTTCCCAACACCCAGCTCACTCTGCTGGATTCGTGCCTGGCAGAGGCAGTGGTGACCAGGCCATCGGACTCAGGGTGGATTAAACTTCCACTGGAGTAGAGGAAGAAAACTCCCAATCTTTGTGCAGGCAAATGGGAGTTTCCTCCTTTTCCAGCAATTAAATCCCAATGCTGACTCCACTGAGTTCCTGAGTGCTGGAATAAGAAGTGATTGGGAGTTTTGATGTGCAGCCTTTGGACAAGGGGCCAGTGCTCGTGCTCTCCCCCTTCCTCAAGTCCCATGAGCATTTCAGGTTTCCAGAGTTTCCCACTTGCTCTTTCCATGCCCTGCTCATCTTTCAGACTCCAGGCTGCAGGATGAACCATGAGTCCTGAAGGCAGGTTTGTGGGCACAGAGTGTGGGGGGATGCCTGGGGGAGTTTTCTCTCCCAGAATGATCTCACAATCTTTGCAGCTTCCCAATTACCTGTCAGTCCAGGAGTGAAGCTGAGCTCAAACCAAAATGAAGCTGGTAGAGCTTTAAAATGGTCCATGAGACTCCCCTTTACAGGAGGAGGTCAGGGCAGTGGAAGGTTTCAGGGATTGGATGTGGCTCATGAGCCAGGATCTTGGATGACCACGGGTCCCTTGGACAGGCTGCACACACGTGCCTGGGCATGTCCTCGAGCACATACCACTGTGGTTTCTGGACTAGTTTTTGTTATTTCTCAATATTCCCACTAATATTTAATGTATTTCTCTTGGTTGCTGGTAGTTTCAGCAGTGAAAGTGCTGACTCTGATGTCCTTCTGGGACGTGACATTGGCTTGGGACAACCCAACAGTTTTTGTGTGGGCCTCCAAAAAATGTTCTGCCCACTGGTCTCCAATCCCAAGAACATTCCTGGCTTCTCTGGTAATATCCTTAAGCACACCACTGGTAGATTTTTGTGTAGATGAATGACCTGACAACTCCAAATATTATTTATTTTCCAGGATTTCTGGGTCACTAGAACGATGGGTCAGGGAGGACTGAGGTGCAGCTGGATAATGCCAGATCCCAGCCAGTGGGGTTCATGTCTCCCTTCCAAATCAGGCCAAGCACAGCCCTGCTCCTCCTCCTCAGCAAAGGGGCTGTGTTAGGAAGTGGGAGCTGGGAGAATGGGGAGTTTTGGCTGGATCTCATGGTTGTTCTCTGGAAGGTTTTAATGATCCTTAGCTTCCGTAAAGGAAGGCACTTCCTGGAGCTGCAGCCCTGGAGCTCAAGATTCACCTTTCTCAAGCACAATACGTCTCTCTGAATCCCAGGGTTAGATGGGATATTGGGGAGAAATCCTTCCCTGTGAGGGTGGAGAGGCCCTGGCACAGGTTGCCCAGAGAAGCTGTGGCTGTCTCATCCCTGGAAGTGTCCAAGGCTGGGATGGACGGGGCTTGGAGCAACCTGGGATAGGGGAAGGTGTCCAGGGGATGGAATAGGATGAGATTTAAGGTCCCTTATAACCTAAACCAGTGTGGGATTCTGTGATTTTCTGAATCCTCTCAGTGCCCTCAGGCTGCCCCTGTTATCTGATGTCCTCTTTAACCTTTTAGTTACGAAATAGAAGCTTTTTTGTGCCGGACCTTCCACCCTGGGTCCTGAAGAGGGATCACTTGTTTAACAGTGACACTGGGAAACACCACAGAAGTATTACTGTTCTCCACTGCAAGAAAGAGGGAGACTTAGGGCTGGATCCAAGCAGACATCTGAAGGGACATTTACACAAAACTTAGTTACCTTAGTCCAAAGTCCTGATCCTGAAAAACCTGCTCTTGTCTTTCCCTGCTGCAGGAGCTGCCTCTGCAAGGCACACTCTCAATTCTGAGTGTTTAACTTCTTCCTCTGCCTTCTCAAAGGCACTCGAGGGTATGTCTTCCCAGACAGACCTTTCCTGATGGCAAGACTGATCTTCTCCCTAAAATAGTTGGATCAAAATGACCTTGGTCAGGTGGAGGAGGGCAGTACCTTCTTCCACTGCCCTTGGGTGCTGGTGGATGCCCTGTGGGTGCAGTGCAGTCCTCAAAGCAAAGTCATGTCTTTTTACCTTTTCTAGAACAGGCCGAATGACCCCCAGGATGTTACCCAGGAAGCATCCTGTGTTCAAGACCGGCCTTGAAACTTCTCCTAAAGCTCCTGTGAGGGTCCTTACCCTGCACCTCTTGGGAACAAAGAGGATTTGCATGACTCTTCAGCATCTCCTGCCCAGGGATCTGTGTGTTAACTTTGAGTAGCGTCATTACCTCGCTGGAGTTTGGGGCACCAGAGGGTTCCAACCTGCACTGCAAATAGGGCAGCCCCACTGGCATGAACAGAGTCCATCTGGAGTGTAAACAGTCTGGTTTATTAGGGAATTCACCTCTTAGCAGTCACAGGAGTAAGGACGGAGAGGTGTCACTTCAGGTTCCTCTAGAAGGGGACGGGGAGAGCAAAACTACACCCAGCTAAGACTGTAAGCAAAGACTAAACTACCTCTAATTGCAACGAGGGGAAACACTCGAGCAGAGAGCCTAAAAGTGCTTTACAAAAAGTCTAAAGGAAAAGCTTTTTGTACAAGATTAATCTTTCTGCCTCACTGGGGTCAGCAGTGGGAGTGCAAGGAGAGAATTCAGCACAGTCAGCACCGGTCTGTAAAGATCTATGTCCAGCTTTGCATTTCATCCTGTTTATCTGGGGCTATTAATTAGCTCCTTTCAGTTTTCCTGGGAAGATCTGTGTGTTAGGGCTGCTGAACACTTCTAAAGATCCGTCACTGATTGCTTGGGCAGCTAAATCGGGTCGACAGTTCACTACTCAGAGGTGTCTTAACTTTGCATCCTTTTCTGCTGGGGCAGGAATTCCAGGGATGGCTTCAATCTTCTTGCAATGTGCTTGTACTCCTTGCTTTCCTAATTTCATGCCTAGGTATGGCATTTCCATTACAAAGGAGTTGTGTTGGTTGAGCTCTGCAGGTCTGGGTCTTTCAATAGCTGATCAGAGCTTCTGGTCATGTGCTTCTGCTCTTTTCCCTCAGAACAAAACATCAGCTACTCAGATCCTGGGCTATCAAAGCCCCTGGAACAGTTCAAGTGCCAAACACAGCCCCAACGGCAGCCTGAGGAATGATGTTTCCCATGGGGGCTGTGGAATATGCACAAACGTATGGTCTGTTTTCCAGTGTGCCTGTCAGAGCCCTGCTGGTGCCTCCAGCAGAGAGAAATATTTGGCATAGGCCATTTCCCCCCAAACTTTACTGCTTGCAGGAAATAGAAAGTGTTCTTTTCCAACCTATTTATTTGTGTTTGACTGTAATCACAAAGGGTTGTGCTTTTCCCCTTTCTCTCGTGACCCATGAGTGTCCACTGCTGTCAATTCTGCATTTCCTCTTATCTTTCACAGAGCTGGGAGCCTTTTCACCCCTTCCTCTGGTGTCAGCTGTACTCCATGTAAAAATTCCTTATGGGAGATGAGCTTTAAGGTGGGTGTGCTCCATTCAGGTTTACTCAGCACCGTGGGCAGCCTTCCCTGTTTTTTGTTTTTAAATCCACATTCTCTTGTTCAGGTGCCTGGGGAAGGTGTTCTGATGTGAGCAAGGCTTTCCAACCCAACTGTGTGTGCTGCTGACTTTCCAGACCATCCTTTTTGCTGCCTGTGTTTCCCCATATGTTTAACAAGGGATCCCTTTGGTCAGAGGGAAGGTCCCCAGTGTAGGGGCTGACTCAGAGCTGTGTCACTGCTCAGTTCCAAAAGTCTGCAGGTAGCTTTTGGGGGAGCGTTAATTAAGTTCCTCGCAGTGCAAAGTTGGTGTTCAACTTTAATTAATCGATATCCATTTATCTTTCAGGCTGTGGTTTGTACCCTCCTGCTGCAGTGTCACCCCACCCGCCCCAGGCCCATGAAATCCAGATAGGGAATGTCCACACTGGAGCTGTGTGGGCATTCCCATGTTCTTGATCACAGAATCATGGAATCCCAGAACCGTTTGGGTTGGAAAGGACCTTAAGGCTCATCCAGTTCCACCCCCTGCCATGGGCAGGGACACCTTCCACTATCCCAGGTTGCTCCAAGCCCCATCCAACCTGGCCTTGGACACTTCCAGGGATGGGGCAGCCACAGCTTCTCTGGGCAATGTGTGCCAGGGCCTCCCCACCCTCACAGGGAAGAATTTCTTCCCAATATCCCATCTAACCCTTCACTCCTTCAATTTGGTGTCAGTTTTAGGTGAAGTGCAAGATTTCTTGGCTTTGTCACATCTAACAGGGTTGGCATCACTCACCTGCCTCGATGGAAAATTAGTAAAACCTTTCATGTGTCAGAACTGCCTGTAGCCAGGAACAGGAACAACTTCATCTTTCTGGTGTGGAAATTGCTCACAGTAAGGGATCTGTCCTGCTCCATGTCCAGGTTCCCACTGCTCCCTGTGCACAGCGGGTGCTTCTGCAGGGGGGTGCTGGAGGCTCCACACCCCGTGGGCTGCTGCATTTGCCAGAAATTGGATGCAATTAAAAAAAAAAAAAGTGAACAAGAGAACAGTAGTGTTTTTGAGGTATGTCTTTCAGTGGTAGTGTTTCACAGCTTTCTTTCCAAGCTAAGTATAGTCCATGAGCGAAAACACACATTGACAGCAGTAGTAGCAGTAAACATGAAAGAAACGTCAGTGATACTATTCCTTGTCTTCCCTTATGCTGCCTTGTCCAAAGGCAGTGCTTCCCAGAATGTCCTGGCAGCCTGAGAAGTGGTGGACACCGCAATGACACCCCAGAGGAGCAGCTGAGTGCTACTGATTGCTGGTGAGTGGGTGGGAGGTCAGCAGGAAAACACCAGACTCCGGTCTGAAAGGACAAACCCAACAGATCCTGGAGCAGCCATCAGCCTGAAGGAGGGGTTAGAGGCAGATTGCAGCCATTTGGGACTGGGAAAACATGAGATTTGTGAGAAACCTTTTCTCCCTCTGTCAAACCTCTCTTATTTGTTGCCTGCCTCAAAGGGCTTGTGGCCTAAAAATGCCGCTGCTTTGCTTCATAGAATCGAAATGTTCCAATGGCACAGACAGAAACCTCAGTCTCTGCTCAGCCCCCACTGTAGGTGTTGGAACACTGAAGGAGGGTCTTTTTGACAAATTAAACACCTACACTTCTGTGCTTTCAGAAATTAAGGGCACTTCTGATAACTTCTCATAGCCCCAACTTCTTTCTCTACCAATCCCCCATTTTTAGCAATGTAAATTTGTTCTGAGCATCTAAATTCCCTCCAGTTTTTGGTAGTGATCTTTTTTAGCTGGATTCCTTTGGGGATGTGAAGGCACCTTCTCTGTGCAAAAAATGTCCATTGCCTGTACAGCATGAGAGCATTTTCCTCTGGGATTTCCCTGCCAGCACCTACCTTCCACTCTGGGAGGAGGAAATGTCATTTCAACCCTTGGTCCTTCGAAGATCACCCCTCAAAAATGTGGGTTATTGGAGGGGGGGCAGGTGGAGCAGCAGCCTGGGCAACATGCACAGTGTGGTGGTCCCTGGTCACTGGGAGGTGGATCAGCACTTTCACCTCTTTTTGGGGCAGAGATGTTCCAACCCCACCAATCCCTGTCGGTGTGAGCTCGCAGCCTTTCCTTCCCTGCCCTTCCCTCTGCTCCGTTCAGGATCTCTGAGAGCCTTTGTGTCTCACTTGGACACAGAGTCACATTCTGAGCTCTTTGAAGCACATTTCATATTTCTTAGAATCAATAAACTTCACAGGCAGTCGCAGAAATCCCAGGCAGTCAATAAGTCCCGTCAGGCTCCCTCAGGAGTGAAAGCAGAGCGTTGTAAGGACATTTCTTAGGGAGCTGCTGTTCAGGCATATTTGTTGTTTCAATTAGTCTGATTTAGGGGCTCAGTCAGGGGCTGCAGCCTGTAGCACTCACACTGTAATTTGATTTCTAAAGCTGCCGTTCAGGTACTAAGGGAGTAAAACTATGTGGTAAAACCCCAGTGTGACAGCGGCTGTGGAGATCCCGATACGCCTGTCAGGGAGATCCAGGGAGATCCCAGGGTTCACCATCACCTGCATTTCCCATCCCACATCCCATCGGAGCCCTCCTGGCTTTGATCACCAGTCCCCTGGGAGGAGCATGGAAAGGTGTTTTTCCAGACCTGTTCCCCTGAAGGGATGTTTAAAGAAACAACAAGAAAAGAAAGTCAAATGAATGTGTGTGAGAAGCGCCAGATTGGCAGCTTGAGCGAGTCAAACTTCACCTGTGTGGTGGCTGCCCATGTTTTATGTGCTGGAGCTGTCAGTGCAGCATCATTCCTCGGCACAACACATGTTCCTTGCTTTTCAAACTGTCCTCGTGTGCCCACGTTGCTCAGTCCTGCAGCTGAGAAAGAGTCAGACAGCACTGATGGGGGTAAGGAGCTGGACTGCCGAGCACTAGGAAGGAATGTTGGATAATTTGCCCTGTTTTTGGAGATGCTTAAAAATTGCAAGAGGTTGGATTTAAAAACAAAATATATGCAGAACGAGTCAAGGCGTAGCTCTGCTTTCAAACTAGAAGCTGCTGGGAACAAAGCTCGTGTCTCTCCTTAGGAAATGAGGGCTGTGTCCCTGTTGTTGCTCCCTGGGAAGAGGCCTCCATGCTCTGACAGCTACATCACCAAGGTCTTGTCTGGACCTTCTCAGCACTCCCAGGTGCTGCAGTACAACCTTTCCTGGCAGGAAGGGGCTTTGGGAGGCACAGACCCTGTGGTGAAAGACAAGTCCCCCAGGACTCCAGGGTCCTTCAGGGGCACCTTATGAGCCTGGGCAGTGGAAGCCCCGTTTGAACAAAGTCTCGTTCTGAAAAGTTTAATTTTACAACTGTTCGAGCTTGTCCCTCTTTCAGATGGCATGGTAAAAATGAAGTATGATATTTCTTCCATGAAAAATCCACTATATTTATAGGAAATTCCTTCCCAGCATTTGAAGGGGTGATGAGGTTTGGAGGAGAATTCCAGTTAGAGGAAGCAGAGGCAAAACTCTGACTTTAAAGGGCTGTCTGAGAGTGCATGAACAAGATCATTCCAGGGACTCTGTCCCTGTCCCAAGCTATTGTCCAATGTCTTTATTCTTTCCTGCTTCTGCAGCTCCTCCTCCCTGTTGTCACTACATCATAGTAAAGACTGGTTTTAACTTTTCAATTAGAGGACTAAGGTAATTTTGTTCACATTTGCTATTCTGTCACAAGGTTCTAACACTGCTCTGTGCCTCCAGTTCCTGCCATTCAGAGCAGAGGGACACTTGAGCCACTCTTTTCAAACAGGGGCCCCTGGAATCATTTTATCTGTATATTCAGTTTTAAACACCCACAGTCATGCTCTGAGATACAGGCCAAGAGCAAAGGACACTTGTGGGAGTTGTAGGTGTTGACACAACAGTCAAATCTATTTGGTCTCAAGCTTTATGCTTGGACCTGCTCATCTAACTCTGGCTGATCCATTTGTGTCTCACACGGGTAACGTGGCTTTTTCTTTCCATTTCCAGGGGTCCTCAAATGCAGCTGACCAGCCCCTTGACCAGTTGGTGGGTACCAGAGCTGGAGAGGGATGACTGTGTTCCATAGCCCTTGGGAAGGGTGCCTTGGCCTCCTGTCAGTGAGTGCAGGGTGTTTGGGCTGTGTGTGTGTGTGGGAATGGGGAGCAACTGCCACGTGCCAAGAACGAGGGGAGTGAAGGATTCCCACCATATGATCCAAAATGAACTTTTGATCCATCAGCTCATCTGATCCACCTGATCCATCAGCTGGGCCTTTCAGGTGACACACAGAAAAGGGCTGTGCTGCTGCTGGTCCTGAGGTTTGTCTGTAAGGTGTGCTGGGCTCTGCATTTTCCAGGCATCCTCTGCTGCTGGTCTAAGGTTGTTTCTTTGGTTTCCCAGACCCAGAGGCAAATGACTGTTTCTTTGTGCTAAGCATCAATTCTCTTCTTTTTTTCTTATCCTTTCTCCTCTCCATGGTTTTCCTCTCCATTTTGAATTCTCTCAGGCTGCTGCAGTCTCACTTCCCTGAGACTTCCCTCCTGGCACAGACACCAGGAGAAAATGTGATGGTGTTTACAGAGCACTGGGACTTAGGAGATGTGAAAGCTGGACCTGCTGCTCTACCTCTGGTTACTCACAACACCTTTCTGTGGTTCTGCTTTCCTGTCAGGATAACCTGGACTAAAACCTCTTTGGGGAAAGGATTTGCTTTCCCTGTGTGATCCTATGGTGTCTAACACAACAGGACCCAACCTCAGGTAAGACCTTTAGGCACTCCCATTATATGAATGAGAACAAGATTATTGGTGTCAGTAATTAACATTCTTGTGGGATTGTTGGAAATGCTTTGGGATAAACACCACCTGGAATCCTCGCCTGGCTTATGTGGTTTCTGAGCTGCAGAGGAGGCTGATCCTGTTTGCACAAGAGGCCATGGACCATCTGTCTCCTCTTACTGGATGTGCAAAGTCTTTCAGGCCAAAGATGAGATGCAGTAGCTCAGGGAGACATTGGGACACTGGAAAAGTGAGGGCATGGCCTGTGGGGAAGAAGAATGGAGACTCAGCGGTCAGTGTGTCCCCAGTAGTGATCTCACCTGAGAACAACACTAATGGCAACCACCAAACCAGAAAAATACCACCCACAGTGTCACTGAAAACACTGTGAATGCCTGTGGCACAGTGTCACCCCTGGACAGGCTTCCAGAGAGGAATCTCTCCCTGCTTATGTGGATGGCAAAAATCCCATTGGCTGCAATGACATCAGGATTTCCCCTTGAGTGTTACCTGGGTTTCTCTCCTTCTGGAGAGAAGAGCCATATCCCACATCATTATGCACATCCTAATAACAGATGGATAATTCTTTTCCTTTAAACTGTGGATTGGATTCCAGTAAACCCTGCATTTTGGATTCTAGGTTCCCTCTATCTAGCTCTGCAATCCCTAAATAAACAAACATTGGATTAGACCTCAGCAGCTCCCTCCCTCAGACACGGAAGGCTTTAAAAGCATTTCACACCAACTGCCCTGCTTCTGTTTCAGACTCTGTTAACCACGGATTCAGGGAGCTCCATCTCCCTCTCAAACTTCCCAGGGAGCTCACCTCAGTGATTGGAAGGTCTGCCTCCACTTGTGACCCTCTCTGACTCCAGCGAGGAGCTGGAATTGCTGTTGACATCAGGAATGACAGAAGTATGTGCTGGGGTTGGAGGGTTTCTGGCACATGGCCTGCTAACCCAGAATTTGCTCGGCAAAGTCCGGAGGGTGACTTTTAACCTCAGAGCAGTTTGCAAAACCACATCTGTGACCAATAAATGTGAAAAATAAATGAAAAAAAAATAAATCTAGCCCCTAGTGAATGATGAAAGCCAGCACACCTCACTGGGCACTGGTGCTGGAGTCAGTGTGGAGATCTACACACGAATAATTGAACAGGTCATCGTTGCCAGGAGTTGTCCGTGGATGGAGCCGATGCCGCACACACGGGAGGCAGCACAGAAGGTTAAACTGAAGGGATCTCATAGCTCTAAGTCTTAAACTTAATGAAGCACATCTTTATTTGTGCTGCAGCTCCTTCTTCTCCCCAAATTGCCTTAACCAGCTGCTAGAGGATGCCCAGTAATGGAAAATTCTCTGGATAACAATAAATTGGTGTAACGACTCAGTGTCACCTCACATCCTGCTAAGCAATAGAGAAATCACGGTGAGAAAAACAGGCACAGCCAGAGTGGCACTGAACAGTGGAATCCTAATTCCATCACCCTTCTTGTGGGCCACAGATAACCCAGTGCAATTTACAGCCGCTCTGAAGCGGCTCCAAGTCTCAGCAGGAGTCGGGAAGGCTCAGTGTAGCCTCGGGACTGAGGAGTCACGGAAGATCAGGGGAGTTGTTGTTCCATAACCTTGCCTCTGCACCAAAACCGGTGGGCTGGTCTGGAATGGGAAGCACTCCAAGCAAAACACAACATTTTAATCACTGAAATGAAGGTCCTCCTCTGGATCCCTCTCTGGAGAACTGTCTGTCTCTGATGATCAGGCACAGACTGCCAAAGAAGGTAGATTCTGGATTTAAATCTGTACATCACCAGTGTGTGAGTGACACCAGTAAATCTGGGCTGTAAGGCTGAGATATCTCCAAGAAGAGAGAAACACTTTTTCCACTTAAATGACTGAGGTAGAAGAAGTAAATATATTGTCTCCTACTATTGAAGGGCGAGGAAATCATTTATACACATCTATTACACCTTTGCAGCCTAACAGTGGTGGTTTTTTCAATTCAAGAGTCCAAAAGTTTAGAATTACCAACATTAAGGTGGCCTGTGCGACTGTGATTTGTCCCTTTTGTGCATTTGCATTATGATCCAGTATTTAATTGTGATTAGATCACACGCTGTTCTTTCAACAGGTTCCCGGCCTCGCTCGTTCTACAGAATAGACTGTGCTCACCAAGCAATAACTTTATTTTCTCCTCGCTGTTCACTGTGTGGCCTGTGCTTTATTTACAGCACACTATTCAAATATTGTTCTGAAGACAGATTTATTCATTTCCTCCTGAGCTTTTTCATGGGACTCATCACTATGGTATCCAAGTGCTTCACAAACTCTAATTCATTTTCCCAACGCTGGAGTGAGAACTGGTGTTGCCCTTATTTTACAGACGAGGAACTCGGGCGCACAGACAGAATAATACAAAAATATCTTTTCATTTTAGAGATCTAATTAGAAATACTGGATGGCCTGATTTTGTCAGAAAATAGAACATGGTGAAGCATCCAATTGAGTCAGAACTTGAATACATTCTCAGCTATTGCAGATTTATCTGCAAGTGCTCTTCACTTCTGCAGATCACGCTTTAAAATGTCAGCCCAGGCACCTGGGCAGCGCTGACTGCACAACTAGTGCAGTGCTGGGCAGGCTCTGTTTAAGGACTGAGGCCTTTTTCTGGAGCAGCAGTCACCCCTTCCCACCCACAATGCTGTGCTTGCTCACCCCACAGTTCCTCACAGGGTGCATAACATACCTACATCTGATTTTTACAGTAAATTGAGTGGATGTTGTTGAAACACTTGCCTGGGTTCCCTGGCTTTGGTTCAGTGTCTGAGCCAGGCTTATCCTTCTGCACTGGCTGCCTTTATCCCGGTGTTTGATAACTGGGGAGTGTGTTCCTTTGCAGCCTGACTACTGTTGTTTTAATAAATATGTATTTCTTTTCAATCTAGAGATACCCTTAGAAAGCCCAGCAATTTAATCCTGTGCTGACAGGGATGCAGGCCACCAGCAATGTGGAAACACTCCCTGTATGAGGGATGTAGTGGTTGGCACACGCTCCAGCACTCAAAGGGGACGAGGAACGTTCTCAGTGGGTGTCAGATACCTGCTGCCAACAGTTTTCCAGTTGGTCTCACCTTTCTGCTCTGCCTCCCTCCCTCAGTCTCTGTCACTCCCATTCCTACATCACTGCCCCTAGTGAATTCCCTCTTCCCATTGTCCCTGCTTCATCCCACACCCAAACTCGGGGTCCTCCTCCCTCATCCCACTGCAGCTCTCCCATCCAATCCCTGTGCTCAGCAAGTTCTTCCTCAGACACTGTACAGACAGCCCTGGGTGCCCCTAAGCTGCACGTTCCTCCTCTTGGACATTCTCTTCCATTCCTACTCTGTTTTTAATTCTTCTCCCAACAGCCTGGCTTCCAGACTCTTCCTTGTGAGCTTTGCTTTATCCCTCCCTCCAGGCAGACCTGTTTTTACTTCCAGCTCCTTGTTCCCTTCCACCACCCTGGAGAACCTGTCTCTCTCCAGACCCTCTGTGCCTGCCAACTTATCTGTCCCAAATCCAGTTCCCGTCCCCACTGTGTGTTACTCAAGGAGCTTCCTGCTCCATGTTTCCCCAGAGGACTGGAAGGACAGGTTCCCTGCTCACCCTTCCTACCTGCAGCCTTGGCATGGTCCAGAGCAGCAGGGAACTGGAAGTGCAGGTCCAGCTCTGACTCCCACAGCCCTGGGCTGTGATGAGTATGGAATTGCGGGGCAATGGAAGCACTGGGAAGCCTCCACAGAGCACCAGTGGGATTTTCAGGAGGGTTTTCACCATGGGGCTTGAAAGAACACCTCTGACAAGGTGACTGTTCTCGTCTACAAATTCGACAATCCCTGACAGAAAGAACAGAAGGGGAAAAGTTTATGATTTAACCTGAGGTACAAATATCAGATGCTTAAATTTCAGCACAGCGGTTACTCTGGCCCTATTAAATGCGACTGAGGGTAGGATTTTATGATGGGAATTCCTAACCAGCTTAATAGAAGTTACGCTACCAGTCCTGCCTTTTAATCACTGCTTCCATTTTCAGGATAAATTGCAGCTGGTTGCTGGTAATCCTTGTGGCATATCAGATAGCAGCGTAACTCGGCAAGGGTAAGGTGGAGAAACCCAAACATCCTTCTGAGGAGGTAATTATTCCATTGTGAAAATGCTCCGGGATATTTTTAGTGGCCAAACCCCCTGTTTCCTGACAGAAACATAAAATAATGAAGCATGTTTCACAAGGAGAAACGCTTCAGACACCTGTACTAGCCGGTGCTTTGCAGTCACGTCAGCGTTTAATTCGCCGTGCGCATCCCCGTGTCCCTGCGCACGGCCAGACCCACACCTGGCTTTGGGGCACTGTGGGCTGTGCCAGCACCGCCTTGCAGAAAACCCTCTCCACCAACAAATCTGCAAATCCCGCTGGATCAGGGGTAATTTCACGGGAATACAGAGCTGCCTGCAACAAGAGGGACACCCTCGCCGCACGCACCGAGGTTATCGAGGGAAACTTTCCTTAGCAGGAGGCGTACACCCGGTGTAAAAGCCTGGATTTTTTGGGGAACAAATGATTTAAAACTAGTTTTAGAACATTTTGCAACACGTTTTTGTGGGGATGTACCCTCGTTTCATGTCCCGCAGCGCCCCAGGGGGCCGGTTATCTCCGGGTTACCTCGAGCACTGGTCCTACATAATTTATGTCCTGAAAGAGACGATTCAATTAGTCAATAATAAAATGAGCAAGGACAGCGTGTGCGTTGTAAAAATATAATTTAGTGGGCAACAAGCTGAGATGGAAAAATATAAGGGTACACTCCATATGATTAATGAAGGAGGAATGTATATTTATAGCTCTTATTGTGTCCTTTGTAAGCAGAAGGATCCGGCAGTAGGACTGGAACCGGCTGGTAACTATGTGGCATTCCAGTGATTGGGATTTGAATGGCAAATGCTGTATAAAACTAATTACCCCCAGGAGGATGAAAATACATTTCATTTGCCTTTTCGGAGCATGTTTGGCCTTTTCTTCACGTTTATTTACGCTTGAAAAACACGTTTATTAGGAGGGGCGACATCCCAGACGGAGCAGCGGAGTTACTCCCCAAGAAAACAAGTTTCCACAAGTTATTTTTACACATTTAGCACGATTTTGGTTTTCTCGGTCGTAGTGGATTGCGCTTCCCGGCAGCACACGGCGTAGGGAATTCTCGCTTCCCACGTCCTCGGGCTCGGCACACAGGGAGGATACCCGGATTGGTGCCGAACCCTTTGCTTTCCTCTGTTTTCACACGCGAAGCACACATAGGTCCCGCAACCACGCCGGGGTAGGTCCCGGAGAGGGGAAAACACAGATTTATGGCGTTAAAACCCGGGAACTTTCGTGCCCCGATCGCTCGAAGGGGAACGAGGAGAGCCCCGACGGTGCCCCTGAGGGGAGGGCGGCGGCCCCGCCCCCGCGCGCGCGCAGGCGCCGTGGCGCGCGCTGGGAGGGGGCCGGG